GAAGAGTTGAGAAGACATAAATAAACATATTTGTTTTTATCGATAATAAACATGATGATCCTAATCTGATGATCGCACTGTGTATTGAATTCCGCGAATGATAGTGTGTTTCCAAAAGTAAACGGGTGTGACCGAATTGTCAGGTAACGCCCTCACTTGAGTTAAGCTAAACTCGACTACAGAAAATTAATTGTGTTTTTTTCATCGTGGACGGTTTTACTCGTAACATAACAACAGCCATTCATGGTGGGGGTAAAAACTGTTATTATTCTAGGGAATTTGCTGCCTCTTGGCGGACTCCATTGATTTTTGCGTGATCATGATTTTTAATTACATATTTATGTTTATTTTCTCTATTTTCCTGTAGTATATTATATTTAATTATAATTGTACAGATACTGTTTAATATAAATCTTTCTTTTTAATGTGGGCAAAGTACTCTTGTTCAATATCCACTGGGTTTAGCCTCTGTGACGCGGTTGAGAGAGAAGCGCAGAGATGTTCTGGAATCATGCTTTTTCCTACACAGTTGGAGGGACAAGTCTGGCTCGGAGTTCTCTCGCCCGATTGTAAATAGTGTATATAGGTATGTATGTGTTTTTTAAAATTTATTTATAGGTTATTTTATTCTTATTTATTGTATATATATTATTTTTCTGTATAATTTATTGTATTTATTGCACATAGAGTGTGAATGTGATCTCTGATCACTATTATAAATGTCCTTTGAGACCGATTGTAATATTTTTCTATAAATAAGTTTAAAATAAAAATAATAAATCAAGTTTAATAAACACAGAAATAACTTTAATTGAGACGACGTTACAGGATTGAAATTTAATTTAATAAAAAATATGTTGTCTTTCTGTATATTCCTTTATTTTTCTCTTTACGAAATCGGTTTCGGTCTTTTATCAGACCTTCATCAGGATAGGAAATAATAAAATTGACAACAACCATAACATTTTTTTTGCAAATAATAAAAAAACCTAATTTAACAATTTAAAATCCAATCTTAATAAATTGTTTAATAAAAATGGTAATCACCTAACTTATTGTGGACCTCCTCTCCTGCTTGTCAAATCAGGACTAAAAATAAAAATAAAACTATTGACCACATGGTATATCCCCACGTCTTGTTTTTATTAGCCGCCACTAATTTAAAAAATTCCAGTCTCTTCCCTTTGGAAATGGTATGCAACAGTTTTAACTTATTACTTTTGTGGATGTAAACAATTTAAAAAATGCTCTTCAAAATGCGATGCAGCGCTCTCGCTCAAACTCTATTGGTTTTAGCACCAGTAGGGATCTCTTGGAGTCCTGCTTTTCCTTCTATAGTTGGATGGAGAAGCCTGGCTTGGGGTTCCTTGCCTGATTGTATATATTGTATATAGGTGTGGCTGTGTTTTTATGTTTTTAATTTACTTATCTCTAGGTTATTTTATTTTGATTGTACATAGTTTTCGATTATTAATTAGTTATTATTTTATTTTCGTTAATTTTATGTTTTCTGTATATATAGTGTGAATTTGTTCTATAAATATCACTATAATTATTGTCCACATGACGGATTATTATATTTATAAATAAATAAAAAATGTGGTACATGGCCTTAGCAAGGGAGGTGTTCTTTAATTCGGCTGTTTAGTTTCCTTCCTCCACCCCCCCCCCCCTACCCGATGTAAACTTTTTATCGTTTTTTTTTCAGTGTCAAAATGGACATGGGGATGGTTTTGTACAAAATATTATTACGAATCGTATAAAGCATTATTGTGTGTTTGAAGTACACTGTTAAAATATTTTGGTTTATTATTTTCAATAATCGTAAAAAAAAAATTAAAAATTTAATCCCCCTCAAAATTTGAGGTTTTACATTTCATGATATGTATAATACGAAAATCGAATAAAAATTTTGAAGCTTCGTCGTAGTCGGCTTTTCGCCAAGACTACTGGACCATTTTTTTTTCAAATTTGGAATCAAAGTCAGAAATCACCCGAGAATGATTCTCCTATCTCGACATCACTATCCGCCCTTTCCTTTCAAGATGGCGGCTGAAAAATCTTGGTTGGTATAGACTGTAACGCCTAAGCGAATGTACTAATTTCAATTAAATTTGGCTAAATTCTTCTCCTCGAAACACCTTTAAATTTATCTGTATAATATACTTCAATTAAAAACTATCTGGCAAAAAAAGTTACGAGGGGTAGTAAAGTTATTTCCGAATAACCCAAGAAATGTGTTTTTTTTTTGTAATTTTTATAATTAGGTATTTCAAATGTATTTAAACATCGCGGTTTTTAAATATTTTTGGTTTATTATTTTCAATAATGAATCATTGTAAAGGTCAAAAGAATTTAATAGTCTCTCAAAATTTGTTTTAAACAGAATTTAAATTATTTGGTGAAAACGTAATCACTATTTAAACAATAAATCTTATGCAATAGTGAAGTTCCATTTCATTTTTATTTTAAGTACACAATTTAACCCCCACTTGACTATAAACTTTGGCTTCCCCATCAAAAAAGTTACATAATAAAAATGTAATTTTATTCAAATTTCTTTCAGAATAAATTTATTTAATTATTACAACAGCAATAAAACTTTTTAAATATTTCTAAAGAAGGAAATAGATTTTCCGCAACATTAAAGTCCGAATAAGAAAGAGAATAATAAGGTTTATAGCGTCTAGAATAAAGGCTTAACTGGTTTCGTATTCAAATAAGGACAGTAAAAAAAATAAATAAATAAAAAAAATAGTAATAAAGGAAGAAGGATGGGTCGTAGTTGCAGAGGAACGGTTTTAAGATGTAAAACTCCCGTCTGCGGTTGGAATGGAGCGAGATGACAGAATTTCTTTTAGGTACTTCCTCTTCGCAAGACAGTATCATGTTTATATTCTTCCATCCGCAATCCTAGAGGACCCTACAATATCAATCGGAATGACATACTAACCGATCGAGTATCATGTTTATATTCTTCCATCCGCAATCATAAGAGACCCTATAATATCAATCGGAATGACATTCTAACCGATCGTCTAATGTTAAGATTGATAAACTATTGAAGGAAGTTAGTCGACTGTTCTACATAGCATGGGTGATAAATATTCAGGACGCAATCATTTTTAAAAAAAAAATAATAATTTTTTATGTATGCCAACGTTTCAACCCAAACATGTGGGTCATCTTCAGGGCTGAAATTTTTTTAAAAATACAATCAGAGATATAATATTATACAATCGATAATGGTAAATAATAAACTATAGTGATTGATGGCACATGAATCTTAACTATCTTAACTTCTATCTGGAAATGGACAACTGAGAAATCCTTCCTCCCCTCCCCCTGACCTTTACACTTACCTACCAAATGTGTCAGTACTTGAACTAAGTGCTCAAACCATTGTTAGTAGGAGAAAATATTATATATTTGTATAAATGGATTATATACTTTAGTTTTTAATTTTTAGTTTGTATAACTATTTACATATTTCATTTTTAATATGTGTATTGCAATATTAGTTAAGATTCATGTACCACCAATCACTATAGTTTATTATTTATAATTATAGATTGTATACTATTATATCTCTGATGGTATTTTTTAAAAAATTCGGCCCTGAAGGTGACCCACATGTTTGAGTTGAAACGTTAGCATAAATAAAAAATTAAAAAAATGTTTTTTTTTAAAAAAGACTGGGTGACATGGAGGCGATTGGGTGACATGGAGTGATGCGATTTTCTATTGGCTTTTCTCTTTTTTCCTCATAATGCCTGAATTGCCGGAACATAGCCGAGTTTTTTTATTCTTTGCCGGCATTTTGGTGACATAAGGCAATGGATTTTTTTTTGTTTATGGAATGGGTCAGATTTTTTCCAATTATAACCCAACATTGTATTTCTGTCTCTTGGTCGGATAAACGGGGTGACATTCCCTGTAATGATTGACATTCTTACTGATCGTCCGAGAGCTTAAGATTTACGGATTGATGTACTGTACTGAGGAACTGCCATAAATCTTTAAATCTTCAATCACACGAAAAGTAAAAATTCTCCGCACGATAAGCAGAGAGATGTGGAATCAAAGTAATAACGGTCGGAGGAAAAGGTCCAATAAAGAACAGCTTACAGAAACTAGTCAATCAATACCTCATGATATGAAGGCAAGGTGGTTGAAAAGGAGGGTCATATTGCTCGGAGGAACCCATCAGGAAGCCTCTACACTACAATGATTTCCACAGTATCAGACAAAACATCAGCTGGATAGATCAAGCAAAAAAAGATGCAATAGAGGCTGATATGGAGCAGTTAAGGGGCCAAAGAATTTACAATGTCTGTAAAGGCAACATAAAAAAATCTTGTGCGCGCAACACACAACTTTCACTTACCGCTCTACTTTGAATAGAATTTATTTTCTGGCAATGCTACGCTATTATAATTTTTGAGTGCATTTTGAAGATAGTTAAATCTTGATGCTTATAGATACAAAATCGTGAAGACCATTCTAATTACAAGAAGTATATTTATTATTTCGACAGTAGGTAGAAAACGAAAATCTAGTCACTCCATCTGCTTTTATAAACCACACAACTTCAATATCTGAGCCTTTCAGTTGACAGAATGAGGTTAGCCACAAGACTGTTTTCAGCATTTTATGAACAAATGTAGACGAAGTGATCGTGAACTATGCTTAATCAGTGTGGTCCTCATCTAAATAATTGCCAGAAAAAGTGTATTTACGCAAAAAAAAAATGAAAATAAATAAAATACAAAGCTTATAATAAACTAATTTACTTACTTGTGGACCATATCATTAAAACACGAAAATGTAACTCATCATTATTTTTAGAATGTTTCCTAACACTGTATTTGAATTTCCATCATCTTTTCTAGAAACTAGTGTATCACACCGAGTCGTAAATTCTTGAATTTGTTATCAAAGGAGATGAGATAAGGGAGCATATAAATTCGGTAACCAAATACTATTCGCTGGTTGACTAAGTGATGATGTTGGCGTGGGTAGTACTGTGCTCTTGTCTCCTGGCAGTAGCTACTTCGGCTAAACAACCAGACACCTTCCAGGTCTTCGTCGACCTCGTCAATGGGCTCTTCCTCGACAGTCCTCTGTCCTTCGAGTATGAGTTCGGGAGTGGTGTGCCCTTACTGCAAGGCAAAGCTAAAGTGAGTTATATATCCAACACTTCTTTATATTTGAATAAAATGCCGGGGTTTCGTAGTTTTACTTTCGTACCTATACTAGGTAAGGAAACTATTGCAATCGGGTCAAATTTCCGATTTGCGGTTTTCTACGGATCTTTACGTTTCAGAGCCCACCGAGTTCGAAAAACACATTTTTAGCCATTGGTCTGTCTCTCTGTCTGTGCCAGAATTTTCTCGGGAACTACTGAACTGATTTTGTTGCTTCTTTTTTTATTTTGTAAGGTTTCGACTACTGATGCCTGTGACAGAAATTCGGTGCTCCATGCGCAATAAATGAAAAAACATGTTTTTCAATAGACTGCAGAGCAAAAACGGCTCCAACGATTTTCATGAAACTTTCCTATAATGTTCTAATCATTGTTTTTTTCAATTTTTGTATATAGACTAAATTTCCGGAAAAAATCACGAAAAAAAGTTATAAAGAAAAGGAAAATGTTATGGGGCCTAATTCCCTAAGTATATATTGTACGGTAAAATTTATAATAAAACTTTTGAAAGGTAATTAAATACAGCTGCCGTTTGAAATGTAATGAAATTCCCAACAAAGCCGTATAAAAATCGTTCATTTTGGACAACTATTAACTAACTTACAACTATTCAATTTCCAATGTAAGATTACGGTTTGATATCCTGGTGTCAGAAAGGGGTAAATGAGAGAATAAAGATGACTAAGTGAAAGTATGAAAATCTGTTGCTCGCATCACACAATTTTCACTATTTCCTCTACTTTTAATAGAAATCATTGTTTGAAAATACTAAGCTATGGCAAAAAGTTTTTGATCAGCAATCTTAGGAATTACTGAAATTTTTACACTGATCTACCTTAAGCCGGTTTGCATTGCTTTAGTTTATCAAATAAATCGTACTCAAATCTTATGTTTGATCAATTTTCAGGTAAATGTATCTAGTTCAATTGTTTTTTGTTTCTTCATGAACATATGTAAAGATATAAAAACGTTTCTGAAATAGGTAGGAAAGTCGTGTGAGTGGACACACCAGATATATTAAAATCATATTTTAGAAATAGTAATATGGAATATGGAATACAATATACAATAGTATATGGAAATAGTAAAACATAAACTGCGTTTAGTTCACATCCAGGCGATATTAAGATTATAGAACTTCCATCTAGCGGGACAACATTACTGTTTTTATCTTCTTTCAACTGCTTTAAAATAAAATAATTTTTAAATCTTAAATAATACATTTTCCCCCTCCCGTACTACCATATCTCCACTCTATTCAAAATATCTCTTCGAACAGGTTGGTTTTCTATCTTTTTGTAGTTTTCTCCTTTTTTTTACCCTCTCCTTCCTTTAACTCTTTATTCTACTATACATAGTCAGTACATTTTGATAGACTTTACAATATCTCAATTTTCTATCTAACTATTTTATTTACAATATCTTAATTTTACTATCCTACCTAATTTTACTATCCTGTCATCCTACCTCACTATAACCAATGTCCAACAGACAGATTGTTATAATACTCAATAAAGAAATTTAAAAAAAAAAAAAAAATTTACTATCCATTTTTATTTCTTATATACTTCATATTCCTTTTCTCTGCTTTACATTTTATTCAAAGATTACCAATTTAGTACTTATGTCTCCTAATTATGTTTACTTCATTATTCCACACGTTGTAACGGTTATTATTATTTATTTCTTAGTTCTTATTATTGTCATTCTATCCACTTCATTTTACTTTAATATTTTTTTTTTTTACCAACATTGTGTATGTTTCTCATACCTTGTTATCTGGTTCTTTTCTTAGCCCTGATGAAGGCCTGAACTTCAGGTCGGTAAATGTTAAAATAAATATTATTATTATTTATTTATTTTGCCTTTTTATTTCTGACTGATCACCCCAACCATCCTTCTCTTCATTATTCATGACAATCAACCATCTACCCACAATTTTTTTTATTTATTTTATTTACTTATTAATGATATTTACAACTGTATTACAAGTAAAAATACATTCAGTAAATGTGTACAATAGAATATAATAACATGAAATCATTTGGTGAGAAACTACCCACTGGTAGCACTCTAAAAATGTATTTACAAAAGGAGATCTCGAGGCCATCTTCTTTTCAGACGCCTCGGAGGGTTGTCAGGTATCGAAAAGGAAGCAAGGTTAGAAACGAGAGGGTTAGGATGGTTCTGAAGTTTATTATGGAAGGAAAGGTATCTGGATTGGGCCAGGTCAGAAACATAAGGAACATTAAGGTCGTTATGGATGATTTTGTTTGTGACAAAGTAAGGAGCTGTGAGGATTTTACGAAGGATTTTGGATTGTAAGGATTGGATGCGAGAGGAATTCGATGGCTTAGTGGAGCCCCAGAGCTCAATTCCGTAAGTCCAAATAGGTCTTATTGTAGTCATGTATATGAGTCTTTTGTAATTGACTGGGAGCTTAGAGCGTTTGTCTAGTAAGTGCTGGAGTAGTCGGAAACGTCGAGCTGTTTCTTGTCGTTTCAGTCTGGTATGAGGATTCCAAGTTAGACGTCTGTCTAAGTGGAGTCCAAGGTATCGAATTTGTTCAACAGGGATAAGTGGGGTATTATTAAAGGATACTGTAGGACAAGAGGACATAGGTTTACGACGAAGGGTAAACGTGATTTGATGGGATTTATTGGAATTTATTTTGATCCTCCAGTTTTGAAACCATTCTTCAAGGTTTGTGATGTGTGATTGAAGGGTTTGGGATGCAATTGTTGGGTCGTTATTAATTGATAGGACACATGTATCATCGGCATACGTGGTAATAACAGTGTTAGGATGGGTTGGGATATCAGCTGTATAAACTGTGTAAAGGATAGGACCTAGGATACTACCTTGAGGAACACCAGCGGACTGGGAAAAAAGGGATGAATAGGCATTATTATGATTTACTTTGAAGGATCTATCAGTTAGATAGGAACGGATAATGAGGAAGTATGTAGGGTGTAGGAATTTACGGAGTTTGTAAAGCAGTCCTGGGTGCCAGACTCGATCAAAAGCCTGTTCTACATCGAGAAAGACTCCCGTGCAGTACATTCCGCGCTCCAATGCAGAGGAGACAACATCCACCACACGATGGCATTGCTGGATAGTGGAATGGGATCTGCGGAATCCAAATTGATGATCTGGGATAATGTGATTAGAATCTAGGATGGGGTGCAGGCGTTTTAGGATGAGCTTTTCCAGGATTTTGCCTAGGATGGGTAAAAGGGAGATAGGGCGATAAGAGGATGGGTTTTCTGGTGGCTTTTTGGGTTTATGTATCATTTTGATAATAGATAATTTCCAAGGGTTAGGAAAGTATGTGGTTCGCAGAACAGCATTATATATATATACGTAAGGAATAGGATGGCTTTCCGAGGAAGCAGTTTTAGGATCTGGGATGTAATTAGGTCGTGTCCAGGAGCTTTTCGGGAAGGTAACCTTTGAATGATGTCGGATATTTCTGAAGGATGAAAGGCTTTAGGTGGAAGAGACATTTGGAGTGGGATATCCAGTTCTGCTTCAATACATTCAAGGTGATTTGGGTTATGAATATCAGGGTGTGGATTAAAGGTTTTAAAGAGGTGATGAGCAAAGATTTGTGATTTTTCTTCATCGGATTTGGACCAGGTTTGAGCTTCAGTAAGAAGTGGATGATTACAGTCATTAAATTTCAGAAGCCTTTTAGTGGTCGTCCATAGTGATTTGTCGGTAGGTGTAAGTTTTTCAGTAAAGTTTAGTAAATTTTGAATCTTGTATTTTCTAATTTCAGATTTTAGTTTGTTAGTCAGTTGGGTATAGTGAGTTTTATCTGTTGGATATCTGGTTCTATGCCACTTCGATCTTGTTCTGCGTTTTTCCTTCAATAAGATACGAATATGCTGTGGCAAGTCAGTCTTTTGTGAATTGTTGAACTTATTGATAAAAGTGTTATTATTTATACTGTCTGTTATTGATGCTGTCAGTTTTTCAATGGCACCATTAATGTCCTCTTTTGTCTTTAGCGGAATTTTTAAGTCTAGTTTGTTTTCCAAATCTTCACGAAATTGGTCCCAGTTCACTCGTCCTGTGATCAATTTAGGAGGTGATGGTTTAGGAGCATAGCTCGAATGTAGTGAAAGTAGAACTGGACTATGGTCTGAAGAAAGGTCATCAAGGGATTTGATTATGGTTTGTGAGGAGGAGATCTGAGAAGTTATAAATATATCTAGGATATCGGGACGTTTTTTGAGGGATGTTGGCCAATAAGTAGGGCTCATGGGCGAAAGGATTGAATAATTGTTGGAAGATGAAGCACGTGATAGGATGTTACCGCGGGGGTTGGATGTTCGACAACCCCATCGTTGGTGTTTAGCATTGTAGTCCCCTCCAGCAATGAAGCGCGATCCGAGGGATTTGAATAAGGAATCAAGGAGGTTATAGGAGAGGGAATTACCAGGAGGACAGTATACAGCTGAGAATGTGAGATGGAAAGGGCGAGTTGAAAGGACTACGGAAGTTGATTGAATGGCATCAGTTGGAGTGGAAGGAATAAGGGAATGGGGTAATGATTTATACCCACAATTTAAAAATAATTTTTATTTAGAATTATTATACTGAGTATTGATACATTCTGCATCAAGGACATTGGTACTAGGACTACAATATCCATTCTCACAATATGTAAATAAAAAGGATAATAAATATAAATAACTAAAGAAAAAAAAAAAAGTAAATGTTAAAATTATTATGCCTATCCCTACCATGGCTAACAGGGATATTGACATAATAATTATGTTATTGTAACTGGTACGTTTCTTTCTATCTTTTGAACTGTAAGGTATTTGATTAATATTTAATTAAACTATTACGTTGAACAGGTTGCTATGTTTGTTAATATATTTTTTCCTCTCTTCATACTTCTATCCATACCTGTCATAGTATTGACAATAAGCAAATGTGATTGTATAGAAAGTTGGCATTTAAGGCATGATGAAGATTAGTACCCAGCAGTACCTCTTCCTGGTTTTGTGTCCTGTGGCCATGTCGTCGATAAGTCCGTTGTAATGTCCAAGTAGTTTAAGATGAAATCGATAGTAGAGAGTGTGTTGGTCGATAGTTGGTTGTTCTAAGTCAGTATGTAAAGTTTTGTTGTTTACGTACCAGGGCTGTTATTAGTCTTAAGATTTTGGATTGAAATGATCGTAGTTTTTGTAAGTGCGTCTTTTTTTGCAGAACAGTAAATTTGTGAGGCGTATGTATATGGCTTTGAGTAGGTAAATGTAGGTATTTAGTTTTTGTCTGATTTTCAATTTTGATTTGGAAAAAAGGGAGTTTAGTATTTTCAGTCGTTTGTTCAAAGTTTTTCGTTTCATTTTGACATGTGGGCCCCAGATCATCCTTCTGTCGAATAATAGCCCGAAATAATGTACTGTGTCAGTCTGAGGAATTCGGTTGTATGTTGTGATTTGTCATGATATAATCTAATTTTCCAAAGTGAATACCAATTTTGTAAATTTAGTAAGTTATTTTATTTCTATTATAATTTGATTTGTTAAAGCCGGATCTATTACAATGAATGTTTAGCGGATTAATGAATTTAGTATGACTATTACTAGCTATTTTAACTGTGAATTAGGAGGTTGGTGGCTTAAAATTAATTATTGCTTTGGTACTTGCTGCTTTTGCTCCTTGCTTTCTTCTTATCTTCCTCTCCTCTCTCTGCTCAGCCTCATGAGTCTCTACTTCATTTCTTCTTCTTGCGTAATATGGAGAAATATTCTTCTTCTTGTTGACCATCTCTGCCTCAAGTGTCAAGTAGACATGATTCTTAAAAGAACTCTGCATGCCTCTTATGTCTTTGTTTTGCTTCTCTTGCCTGCCAAGAGATGGCAGAAGTGCTGCTTGCCTCTTCGCCAAATTCAATTTGAATATAATAGGAACTTGGATTTGTTCCCTTAACAGTAAATAAGATAAAGAGAATTCATAAACATATATACAAGATAAATAGAATAATAGATTGAAGCTGAATGATAATAAAACAGATTTACATCTTACTGTAAATGTACAATACAATATTCGAACAATAGTAATAATAAATGAATCAAAAATTAATATGAATAATACAGTTCACCTATGACTATAAACATAAATGGAGTTGAAATGAAACAAATATTTTGCTCAAAGAGAAAATAATATTGAAATCCCTAAAGGGAACGGACACAGTGTCAAGTGTAAACGAAATTGGCATTAACTGTTTATCGAAGAGAGCCCTTTTCTAACAATCCGAATCAAAACACAAAGCCCTCCCGGATAAAACAAACTCCATTGTGCCTATAACGGGCTCTTCATAATGGAAATTAAAACAAAAAATACACAAGATTAAAAAAAAACAATTTCCAGCTTACCACGTTTTCATAAAATGCAAACAAATAAATAAAGATAACGATTTAAATATTTTATAGGAATTCTATATTTTGAAAGTTACATAAATAAATTAAACCTTCAGTAAGCAGTTTGTTTTAATTTCTCTGCAATAACCCTGCTTATGTTTATTTTTATTACTGAACAACAATTTTAAAATATTCACCATATTATTATTTATTATTGATATCCCCATCCCTACATATATTATTACAGTAATGCTCGAAATCGGTTTTGTACCAAATATAAGCTCCTGTCATGCCCAAATACCATGAATGGGGTACCGTTGGATTCCGAATTTCACGGGGGATAGCGAATCGTATTCTCCACTTTTGTTTTTCTTTCTAAAATAAATAAAGTCGATATAAACATTTTGCTAGGCTTCAATACTGGAACGGTGGTATGTCTGTAGATCGATACGGGACAAATTGGACCTTCAAGATTTTGATGCGTACAGCAAGACCCGGATCCTGCGTCGTTTTTAAGCCCGAAAACGTACTATTTTCGAGATAACGCAAGGCGTAGGGTTCGCATCCACACAACCTTACATTAATTGTAGTACTGTCATTGAATACATGTCTCATTTCGTCGACTTGAGGCCTCTATGATCGAGAGAGAGGGAGTTTATATTATTCATCGATGGTGTTTTTGATCGGCAAGCCATATCATCGTTAATTCTGCACCAAATCTCAAGATTGAGCCCCCAATTTCGAAGTATTCCTTCTCCTTCAGGCGGGCAAAATAGTCCGATTACCCTGAAAATTCATGCAAACAAGTAATGAAAAAAAAAACTTTATTTGCGAATAACTAAAAAACTACACACTTTCCCGTGGGTTTTGAATAATTATACAAAAGATTACTAAATTCCCTACAAAAGGGAAAAGAATCATCGAAATGGACAATTTTTAGCAAAGATACAGCCTATTGAAATTGTTCGTAAACATGTTGGTTCCAAACATTGATGAATATTTAAATTCATTTTTGTTTCCTTTGTCGATTATATTTGCCGATAAAGTAATAAATGATTTCTTTATCTTTTGGTACATTGCATTATTTTATTTTATTTATTAATTTGGCATTTGATAACAATATGATTTTTTTGCACGGGCCTACTAATTATTATTATTAGCTGTTTAGTCAAAGCATGCCCGAGCAAAGAACCAGTGGTGGATCAGTTAATTTTATACAATAAAGGTGTTTCTACATATATAAAAAGTTTATTTTTTTGTTTTGTATTTTCCCTTAAAATTGCGGTCATAATCCTTGACTTCTTTATTGACATCAGTAAACCTTAAATATTATTGCATACCTTTTTTTCTTCATAAAATCAATTAAAATATTTTCCAAAAAATCAGAACACTCTAGCAAATACCTTAAGTTGCAATATTCATATATTTTACCAATTAATAAAAAAAATCTATGAATATTTTAATGTAAATATACTAACTTTTTAAATTATTAATTGTTTATGTGTACAAAGCATAAATAAAAAGTGCTGCAAATTATTTAACAATGGTTTATTATTTCCGAACAATTATACATCCAAAGTAACATAAATAAAGAAAAATAAATAAAAAGTGATTCCAATTATTGGAATTTTTACCTTTTTTTTAATCATTAGTAATATGATAAAAAAATAGCATTACTTCAGTAACACATACAAAATTTAAAAACCAAAACAAAGGATATAACGTTTGCAGTAGGACGTATACCAAAAATAAACTAGAGACCATATCTTTGCTCTTAATTGTCTGATTTTAACGAAGTTTTTTTCGTTTTTTGGAAATTCCGTAAACTTCTAGAAAACTATCAACAGAAAAGTGTATACTTTTTAAATTATTCAGAATTTAATTTTTACCGTCCTTCGTAACTTTTTTCCAATTTCTTTTCGTTGAAGAATGTTATGTAGGTAAATTTAAGGGACGTGAGAAAATGACTTTAGCGGAGTCCCATTGAAATCGGTACATTAGTCTAGGCGTTACAGTCTAAGTAATATTGATTGTAATGCGGATAGTAATGTCGATGAAGGAGGATCATCCTCGGGTGATCTCTGATTTTATATCCAAATTTGAAAAAAAATCGGTCCAGTAGTTTCGGAGAAAATGTGCGGACGGCGGTCAAGAAAAAAATTGTTATTCGTTTTTCGAATTCTACGTATTCTGAAACGTGAAACCTCAAATTTTGAGAGCAGGTTAAGTTTTTGAATTTTTCGGTCGATCACGATGGTTCATTATTGAAAATAATAAACCAAAATATTTATTTAATACAATTCATTTTATTAAAATAACAACTCACTCAATTAATAAAACAATTATTGAAATGTCTGTTGTTTAGTCAGTTTTTTCAAAAATTTGTATCATCCTCAAGGGGAGGGGATAGGTTGACGCAGTGAACGTAAAGAGTTCAAATTGAAGATGAAGTAATGCAATAAAATTTATTATAAATAATTATCTTTGTAGGAATGGTTATTTCCTTAACAAATATATTTGAAAAAGTACATTATCGGTCAAAAAAATTGTATTTTGAATTTTGTCTGACGGCGCAACACCCTATTTTAACCTCGAAAGACAACAGATTCACGTTATTAAAAAAAAAAATCGTCTTAAAATTTCTCTTTAATGGGCACCGTTTTGAAACGCCTCCTTTTTGAGGCTGGACATTAAACAATGTATGGCCAAAATTTTCTTCAATTACATCAGAAAATTTCGCCTTTTGGGCCGTCCTGTTACTGTTCCTAGAAAAAAAAACGTTATGTCAATACAGTTATTCTTCTGCTATTAACTAAATAACATTATCAGTAACACTGTTTACGTTTGCAGGTAACAATTGGAACACCATGGCAACTTCTTCCAAACAGTTCTGTCTCTTATCCGAACCAATATACACAGCTGTGTTCGCTGGATCTCCTAGTAATCGGAAACATAACAATATCTCAAGAAGACAGGTAAGCCAACTTAAACTTTGTGATAATTTATTTATCTTGTTTTTACTTATTTTATTTTATTTATCTTGTCTTTTTTGTAGTAAAAGCTTCTCTAAGCGCGGTTTGCACTTTTTTTTGTTGATATAGAATCAGACTGAAGAGTCACACTCGAATATATAACGCTCATTTGGATAAATTCGACTAATTAAAATTTGTTTTTGTTTTAATTAGGATATCTTAAAAAGTAAAAATCTGAACTGCATACTGTAAGCGAGGAAAATGTTCAGCGTTTCGTCCTATTTTGACGTGACGTCGAGTTAGAGAGTCGAAAAGAAAAAAAAGATAGTGTTAAAAATTAAATGATAACGAGTTTTGTTAAACATTTAGATTAAAATATCGCAGAAATTAAAATACAATGGAAAATGAACAATATAGATATTTTTTTAATTAGCAATGAAAACTAAGAAATTGTGTATTTCTATTCGATTTTCTGTTTCACTTGATAGATTTCATATTTCCTAAGAATAATTTAAACACTAGGATTTATATTAAGTTGGCAAATTAGTCCTTTCGGTTTTTCAGGATGAAATAAAACTCAATGTATTATAGACATAAAATTTATTTTAATCTACAATATATTATTTAATATGACTTATTCTCATCCACTAATTGCATAATGGTATGTTAATAGAATGTCTAGAGTTTATTGTTAAAAAACTGATCCAAGTGGTTTTTAATGTCCTCTTCCTTTTGGAGTTTCTTTCCATTGATGGAGTAAATTTATTCCAGGAACCGGAATAAATGGTAGTCACTTGGAGCTAGGTCTGGTGAATAGTGAGGGTGGGGCAAAAGGTCCTACCCAAGGCTCAATAATTTATTGCGAGTGACCAATGAGGTGTGAGGCCTAGCGTTGTCTTGGAGGAACACAAAACCCTTCCAATCATTCATAACGCTTCAGGATGTTCTCCAAATTCTATGTTAACATATCCATTGAAAAGTTGAATCATTGCTCTTCAAAGTCTTATGAATGTTTTTTTGATTTATCGCCTACATAAGGAATAAATCAACAAAAACTTTTATTTTTATTTTATATCCATTTGTCGTTTGTTTATGAAGGTCCTGTTGATGTAATTTTGTGGAGTTTATGTGGTCCTAAATTCCTGCTAAATTTCTTGTAGATAGCTAAAGTCGTATTGAAGTTATAATATTTTTTGTGATTATCGGAAAAAATCATGTGAGGAACCCGAACATTAAGCCTGGAAATATAGCCGAGCTTCTGCTAATGGTTTTATAGGCAATTTTGACAGGTGCGTTCGGTTAAGGCATCATCCCCATAAACAATAATAACAAATAAACAATAAACAAATTTATCTATGAGCTTCCGCAGCACGCTTACTTTTTTCAAAATAATGTTACAAAATATGCCGATAATGAATGATACTTTCTTCCATATTACCAGTGCAAAAGCAAACACTATACTAAGCTATTTTCAAATGTATTTATTATCACACATGATAAGGTAATTTTAACTTAATTGAATCATTTAATAAAAAATAATTGAGTAATAATAATGTTATAAAATAATTAAAGGTGGACATGACAAAAATAAAAAATGTTATTATGAGTGGACGCATACAATTCGCATAAGTGAAAAGGGCAGTTACATGATTGGTATTTAGGTATATAAAAAGAATCTCTATATGTTGAAATATATAATATTTTAAGTATTATTGTAAATTGTAAAAAAAAAAATGTTATACTTGTAAATGGCTCAACGAGCCGAAACTTCGTAATTAGATGTGTAGTGACTAAGTTGAAATTTTTAAAAATTGGTGTAAAATTGGCCGATAATAAATAAACTTGAAAATAAATAGTATGCACCGAAGAAGTTGAGAAATATTGCGTATAATAATCTGGTTTCAAGAAGGGTTAACAGTTGTTCATATATTACAAACAGGATAAACCATCCACCTTAGAGATTAATTCATCAGATAAGATGTGTATCATAGTAATATACAAATAAACAGAAAAACCAAATGGACTTGTTTGCCAACCCAACAGATCTGCGGGCGTCGTCTTAAATTCTATATTTCTCCACTAAATGCTCGTGAACTGTCTTTGCCATATTTTATCTGAGAAGATATTCGTTTCCAGCAAGTAGTTATGTCTTACATGTTATAATGAAACGACGACAGGCTATTTATATTTTTATATGTATTTTTTTATGTATTTATTATTTTTATATGTATTTTATTTATGTATGTTATTTATTTTCTTTATTTAGGAAGTTTTAGATGTAAAGCTGGTCCCATATCAATTTTAATTAATTCTAATCTGCACTTCCGCTTACGCGTTTTTGTACATATGCCAATATTTTAGAAGCAACTTGTTCGATTTGGCTCTAAGTTGGATAAAAGATAGGTATATGTGCAAACGTGTTTTTTCTATACCCTATATATCTCTAAAACCACAAGTTCGATTTGATTCAAATTTGGAGGAAATTTAGAGATAGGAAAACGTAAAATGAAATAGGCATCTATTTCATCAAATTCTATGTAGTATTCCAAATAAAAGTACTTCCGCTTTCAGATCAGGAAATATCATTTGATATGCCTATAGTTTGAAAACAGTGAATTCGATTTGACCCAAAGTTGGAGCTAGATGTAACATACTGAATAAATTATGTTGCTAATGCTTTTATTATTATCCTTGTTTCTGTGTAGGCCGAACTTAGACCTGGTGCTGAGCGGGTGCCACATCGAACTAGACGTGGCCATCTGGAACAGATCCGACTGGCGGATTAAACCAATCTTCATCTGGCTCGAAGAATGCGGATCAATAGAGTTCTCGAACGGGATCGAACCCCCCGCGGCGGAACAGGTACTGCCCACACTATCGCAAGGGCTCCTCAACACGGCCATCGAGCTCTTCTCCAAGGAGTACGACGAAGAGGAGGACATCAAGAGCGACCCCAGCCAGAACTTCAAAGTCCTCCAGGATATGTTCCCCGTCCTGATGTACCTCAAGGGGAGGCCGATAAAAGTCCAGGTTGAAGATGAAGACTAATTTTGTGTAGATTTTATTGTTATTTATTATTGTAATGAGTAAATATGAAATATCAGGAATTGGATAACGACCGCAATAAAGGGACACGATTGGAAGAAGTTTGTGGAGCCGAAAACTCGCTATCAACTCGTGTTGTCGCCCTGCCGATATTGTTGACTATTATATTTTGTATTATTTTTTTTCTGAAGAGGTTCAGTATTAAATACAAATAAATCTAATTTAATTATCTTACCCCGATTATTGTGTTGTTATAATAAACGATACTATTTATTATTTTATTTTATTTTCCTCTTCCTTTACCTTTCGTCAATACAGATTTTTGGGTAGAAGTAGCGCGATTTTCTTTATTGGAGATTAGTTGTTAGAATAAACTATAAACATATCGATAATTATTAAACTCCAAATTTATATATATAGAATAGAAAAATAATTTTATTCTGGGACGAAGTCCCTTCAGAATAACAAAAAAGTACAGAAATTAAAATTTTACATCTGGCCAGATGAAAACAAACATAACAAATTAAGATAAAGATAGGTCATTCAAGAAAAGAAAAGAAAAAAATATTGGTTATACATACTATATACAAAATAAAATAAAAAAAACTATATAAAAAACTCTTGAAACCATACTAAGATACTTCAAACTATGTACAATGTTAAAATATAAATAAACCCTTTTAGAAAAAATAAAAAATACAGAAAAAAATAAATGTATATTCTTCTTAACATTAAAATCTGTTTCTGTTGAAAAAAAAAAAAAAAGAGAAAAAGAAAGTCGAATCTATAATAAGAATTCAGGTCATGAGCTATATGTGAATATGGTCTTATAGATAACATGTAATTTTACATAAAAGGTTAGCTGTTGCCTAACTGTTTTTGGGACAGGAATTGGAATAGGAGGGGTTTGAATGTAGATAAGGATGAAGAATGTCGAATTTTGATAGGAAGGGAATTCCAGAAACTAACAGAACGTGCAATAAAGGAGTTTTGGAACGAGGCAGATCTGTGAGAAGGAATGTAAAGGTCGGAATGTCGAGATCTTGTGGAGAGGGAGTGGACTGAGGACTTGAATTGGAGAAGGTTGTAGGCGTAGGAAGGACGATGATTGTTGATGATATGATAGAGGAATGTACCTAGGAAATATTGTCTTCGAATGGAGGGGAAGAGCCACTCTAACTCAGTGTAATGGTGAGAGACATGGTAGTATCTCGGTGCACCAATTACAAATCTCACGCAACTGTTCATTATTCTTTTCAGTCTGTTGCGGAGCTCCACCGAGAGTCCATCATACACCACACAGCTGTAGTCAAAGTGGGGGAAGATGAGAGAGGAAACGAGGAGTCTACGCGTATGTTGAGGTAGGAGATGGCGGAAGCAATGGATTAGTTTGAGGGTAGAAACTGTCCGTCGGGAAATGTGAGAAATATGGTGACTCCAGGAGAGGGTTTGATCAATAAATAGTCCTAAATTTTTTACAGAGGAGTAGAAGGAGATTGGCTGGTCACCAAGGTTTAGTATGGGAAAGTCGGAATAGGATCTAAGGAGGGGCTTGGAACCAATGACAATGGCCTGAGTTTTTGAAGCATTTAACCTTAATCCGATAATATATATATATATATATATATATATATATATATATATATATATATATATATATATACCAAGTAAATTCCGATATTAGATGTATCGACTGATTTTTATACTTACATTTTAGTAATGCTATTGATTTATTTGTTAATTGAATTTTTTTTTAAATTCATAATATTTTTAGAAAAAAATATAAGAAATATATATACAATTAATGCTTTCATCCGCCAATTAATTCTAATATTGTGTTGTATATTATTATATTTTAATATTTATTCTGATGAGGTCTACATAAAAAGAAGAAACAGAAAGGACTAAAATTATTTCATAATTTTTCTTCGAAATCTTCAAAACTGAAATTGCCTTACATGTTTATACTATAATAATAATAAAAGGCTTAGCGAACCCGAAGGTTCGATGCCGACACCACCAATCGCTTATTACACAACTCCCTCCACCGTTCGCCGTCCAAACCCAGTCCCTTCAGATCGGCTTTAATGCAATCTTCCCACCTTCGCTTCGGTCTACCCCTCGGACGCTTACCATTCGGCACAGCAAATATTAACCTTTTAGGAATTCTCTCGTTACTAAGCCCAACAACTTTACACGCCCATTTGATTCGCCGCGATGAAATTATTTCAATTATATTACCCGGATAATTATACACGCAATCAATTATACACGCAATTCGGCGTTGTGTAACCGTCCGGTGAACTCTCCGGTTAACTCATCCTTCTTCGGTCCGAATATTCTACGCAATACTTTATTTTCAAAAACCTTAAGACGCTGTTCATCCCTTAGTGTAAGCGGCCAAGTTTCGCATCCATAAAGAACCGTAGGCAAGATAATTGTTTTATAGATTCTAATTTTTAAGTTCCGGGACAAGAGGCGCGAACTAAGTAGTTTTGTCACAGAAAAATAACAAGCATTTCCCGCCTTCAGTCTAATCTTAATCTCTTCTTCAATTTCGTTTTTTCTAGTTATCGTAGAACCTAGATACCTAAATGTATCTACCTTTTCAAACATATTACCATCTATATCGATATCACCAGTAGTATCGCCATTTTTGCAGCTAACCATATATTTTGTTTTATCCACGTTTATTTCGAGTCCTTGTTCTTTCCCGGCTTTCATTAACGTTGTCGTATTTAGTTTTATAGTTTAAACGTCTTCGCTTAACAGTACCAGATCATCAGCATAGCCCAGCACGGATGTTGTCCCGCCCAGATCCAACCCTCTCTCGGTTCGTTTATACTATTTACTAACATGTTTATTACTAACATGTTTATACTTATTTAAATAAAAATGAACAAAGTCATCACAGATATATATGGTATTTCTGAAATGACCCACCTACAAATACTGCAGTACTTACTCGACTTAACTACAGTACGACACTACGACTTATATGTTGTTATGAAACATCGACGGCTGGCTACTTATATTTTTAAATGTTTTTTTCAATTTTATGTACATGTTTAATTTCATATTGTTTTTTTTTCTGTATTTGTGAAATTTTAGATGTAAAGCTGACAAATTTAACTATTGTATATTTGTGTTTGTTACATTATTTTACATTTTCTTGAGGGTTTGAATCATCAGAAACATATTCTATATTGTTAGATCTGTCTGTTGTTTTTTTACTGTTTTTTTGGGAGGGGGGAGAGGGAGAAGGAGGTTAATTGGTCTATTACTTATCTATACTTACACATATAGTCAGGAGAAATATACTTATTAGACAAACAACTGGTATTTTTATATATATGATTTAAAATGACAAAGTTCCGCAACAGTCTTGCAGTTACTTATTACCTTATCACTATAGAGATATTAATGTAATTTTTTAAATAGCAGAAATCTAAATAAGGCCGAATGAAAAATTATAGAGTTAAATTCAAAAGTATATTGGTTATTCAAATTATTAACATATAGTAACTAAAATCGTCGCGTATTAGTAACTATATTGCCTTATTTTTTATTTAAAAAATCGATATTTTTACCTGTCCTGGTCTTGGTCTTGCAACAGTTAGGCGGCCTTGGTCTTGGTCTTGCAAAGTGTAGCACCAAGACCGATTTTTGGCAACACTAAAAAAAAAACAGACTGACCGGACAATAGTGAATATTTGTTTCTGATGAAAATTATTCCTGTAACTTTAATCAAATGTACAATAACGTGATGAACTACAGTTCTTAGTAATAGCCAAATTCATCTACAATATTTATAAATGCAATTACTAAATATTTATAAATGAAACCATAAATTTCAAAAGTTTTCAAAAGAAAAAAAACTGTTTTTAGTAGAGGATATTTATTTGATGTCTCAGTTTATTCTTATTTATTTAAAACTTAAAAAAATTTTTTATTTATTTAATGATATTTACAACTGTATAAAAAATACAATAAAATGCACACATTATAAATAATGATTTGGAACAGACTTGGAGAGATACTGCTCAGTGGTAGCACTCCCTATTTAATTCTAGATAAAAAAATCAAGAGGCCATCTTCTTTTCAGTCGCCTAGAGGTATTATCAGGAATCGAGGAAGAAGCAAAGCTGGACAAAAGTGGATTCAGATGGGACTGGAGTTTATGATGAAAGGATAGGTATCTGGCCCGGGCTAAATCAGTGACATATGGTAAATTAAGGTCTTTATGAATGGTTTTAGTTGTGACAAAATATGGGTCATTAAGGATTTTACGAAGGATTGGATACGATAGGAATTCGATAGTTGGTAGAGCCCCAAAGTTCAACTCCTTATGTCCCATATAGGTCTTATTATGGTTAAATAGACGAGTCTTTTGTAATTAATTGAAAGTTTAGAGCGTTTGTCTAGTAAGTGTTGGAGTAAGAGGAAACGTCGAGCAGTTTCTTGTCGTTTCAGTCTGGTTTGAGGATTCCAAGTGAGACGTTTATCCAAGTGGAGTCCTAGTTAGTGGATTTGTTAAACAAGAACAAGTATAATATCATTGAAGGATATTGTAGGCCAAGAAGTTGTAGGTTTACGATGAAGGGTTACGATTCGAATTTATTTTTATTCTCCAGTTATGAAAATATTCTTCAAGGATTGCGATAAGTGATTGAAGGGTTTGAAAATTTAAATTATTTATCTAGCAAGAGATATTTTTACACCAACATTATCGCCGGTTTTCGCAATGTGAAATACACAATATTACTGTATATAAATAATATAAACGTCATGCATTGGATTTTTCATATTGAATTTTTATTTTATATAAAGAACTGAAGTTGCTATAACATAATAAGACTACGAGACAAATTACTAGATTAGTAAATATAATTAAACCCTCATAAATGTAAATAGTAAATATTACTGAGCTCTCATAAATGATGTAGAAACAGTTGTTGATTTATAGCTAGCTTAAACAAACGAAATTACATGCGATGGTTACGATGACTAACGTCCATTAAATATTTGCTCACCCCTAGCGATGTTACATATATATAATATAGCTGTGTAATATAATATTGTATGTTTGATTCAGCCTTATTAATTTGTTTCACTCCGTTTCTCCTCATAATTTAATATTAGTTCAACTCAAGTACACTGTAATGGTTCTGTAATTCAGATCAAACATCGTTATTTCTCCATGAAAATGAATTTATAAACTACATTATTATTCTATTTGTAATATATATCATGAATATAACTTAAAATTGGG